GGATGTTTCCTGACAGTCCTGGCGGCCAGTCTGAAATTCTTTCAGCTAGAAGCATCTGCCGAAAAAACCAGTGCCGTTAGCAGCAAAAATCTGCGGGGAGCTATGCAAAAAACGCATCTTCGCACGGGCAGCCCATGCGTTGGCCAATTATTTTTTATTTGGTTTTAGGTCTGTGCCTTATTCCAATTCACTGTTATTCCTCAGGTAATATTAGCAGTTTTCAGCGAAAGATGATCTTGTTAACGAAAAAATTCTTTTAGAATAGCAGCTACAATATCTGGGAAATACCGATTTTTCTTTTCATCGGCGTTCTGGGAGGTATCTTTGGCGCCCTGTTCAACTGGCTCAATGTGAGACTTTCGAAATTCCGAAGAAAGTTAGTTTTGCATCATCAAATTTTTTGAGCATTTTTGCAAGCAGACTTTTTTTGATTTTTCACGGACAAATTTGGGCATGAATTTTCACATGATTTTTGTTATTTTTGATCCGATCATGAAAAAGTTGGCAGAGATGATGAGGCTCTTTTTCCTTTTGAATTAGAGGAGTTGAAATATTCCTTATCCTGGATTTGTGTTCTTAGTTTGTGATGTTTATCTCATTGCTGTTGTTTGAGGCATGTACGAAGCAAATGTCAGAAACTCGTCGAATGTTTACTTGTTGCTGCTGTTTCCGCTTTCACCGGTTTCATTACACTTTTCCTCGTAAACGATTGCCAACCAGTTGGCAGGAATCCAAAACTGACGGACGTAACAAAGGTTAGTGCATTTCCCGTTCGTATTGGATTTTCAAGTTCATTGAATGAAAGGGAAATACTGGTTGTGACGGGGACATCCGTGCAGCGGTCGTAACCGTGCAAGTAATCAAACTCTCCGTCAGATGAACAAAGCGATTGCTAAAGCTCGACCTCGGCTCGGCCAGTAATATGAGATTTTTTAGTCTCTTTACCAACGCTATTTCGTAGGTTAATTGAATGAATACAGTTGTCTGGAGAATATTTGCGGCACGGAATGGAAATGTATGCGACTTAATGGACCGAAACATTCCAATTCAGTTTTTACTTTCAACTATTATTTTCATTTTAGTTACAACCTTTTCCATAACTTCGCAAAGTATACAAATTGAATGTAAATACATTGAATGTGTGGCAGCTGAAAATCCCTGGTGGATGTTTTCTAGGCAGTTTTTTGTAGTATCAACGGAGTAATTTGATGTTTTCGTCAAACGGTAAAATAAATGCCGTTTACTTCATATGGGTGATGTAGGATTTTCCAACCTCGCTGGATTTTCCGCAACAACAGGGATAGTGAGAATATGTAATATCAGAAGTTTGTTAGGAACCAAAATATCATATTTTTTGCGAAAACATTCAGCAATCGTCTGTGTTTCATCCCTTAGCTGTAAACAGACCGGGAGCAGCGCGCGAGTAGGAGTGGGAGTCATCAGTACACGTTGTTCTTTTTTGTCAAAAACCTTGGCAGACAGATGAAGGCTCTGTTGATGATAGCAGTATTTTTTTAAAGTTTACCGTGGTTATGTTTTGTTTAGTACCGAATCAGACAACATTTTCACTGAGCACTATTGCAGCTTTGGTGCCGCAAGGGTGAATACAGCGCCGTAGCGAATCTTTTCTTCCAAAGTCCGGAAGAGAGTGTCAAAAGCCTCTTTCATAGCCCAATAAGTGAGTTTTTTTTTTCAGAAGTTGTAAGAATTTGTCTTTACTGTTCTTCATATTATTTTACTTAGACGTTCCGTCACTGAAATATCGCTAT